GTTGCGCTCTTGTTACCCAGGCTGGAGAGCAATGGCGCGATCTCGGCTCACCGCAACCTCTGCCTCCTGGGTTCAGGCAATTCTCCTGCCTCAGCCTCCTGAGTCGCTGGAAAATACATGAATCTTTAAAAATAATCAAAAGGGCCGGGCGTGGTGGCGCATGCCTGTAGTCCCAGCTACTCGGGAGGCTAAGGTGGGAGGATTGCTTGAGCCCAGGAGTTCTGGGCTGTAGTGTGCTGTGCGTTTCGGGTGTCCGCACTAATTTCGGCATCAATATGGTGACCTCCCGGGAGCAGGGGACCACCAGGTTGCCTAAGGAGGAGGGGTCAACCAGCCCAGGTCGGAAACGGAGCAGGTCAAAACTCCTGTGCTGATCAGTGGTAGGATCACGCCTGTGAATAGCCACTGCCCTCCAGCCTGGGCAGCATAGTGAGACTCCGTCTCTCAAATAATGCTGATAATCGTAATCATAATAATAATGAAAAGGAGCTGTGTAATCTTGGAATAAAGGCCTGTCCTTTCCAGGAGAATATGGGTTTACGGCAGTGCAAGGAGTTTTCTCCATGGATCAGTGAGCCCTGGTTCACACGCCGTGTTTGGGAACTGAGTGCACACCCCTTTGTCGTGATCTGGGATGTGAGTTTCCAGACAAGGATGGATTTGTGTGTTAACCAGTAGCTCTTCTCTGTCCTTAGACTGGCCAGTGATTCCCCACCATCTGGGCATCTCACTCATTGGCCTCAGTGGTCACACGGTGGGACTGAGGCCTGGCAGGAGGCCAAGGAGCAGCCTTGTAACTAGGTGGGCCGTGGAGCTGGCCTGGCTGGCAGCACTGGGCCACAGCGGGCTGCATGGGTGGCGCAGTGATGACCCAGGGAGACTCTGGGTTGGTTTTAAGCTTGACTCACCCAGGGAGTCTCCATGTCTTCCATTAAGCTGCCCTGCCAAGCCTTTCCTTCTGCTCCCCAGGAAACTGGCTGGCCTAGAGGCGCTGTCTTAGCATCTGTGACGTTCAGCTGCTGCCCCATCTGGAGTGACTGGAAGCACTTGCTCTGGGGCAGCGCTGAGCACCAGGCTGCGGAACAGTGAGCGCCTTTGCTCTTTCGGCAGGCCCCTCCCTTCCTGCAGCAGGCCCTGCCTGCCAGTGGGATGCGGTGAGGTCCCTCCCCTGCATTCAGTCAGAGCTTTTCTAGCTCTCTCTGCAGGGTGTGGGCTGGGAGTCTGGGTGTGGCCCTTCTCTGGCCTTAGGAAGCTCAGAGGGTGGCCAGGGACTCCAGTGGGTAGGAAAGTGTACAGATGATGCCGCATCCGGGGCACAGAGGCCAACTTGCGCAGAGCTGAGGCGAGGAGCGGGCGAGCTTGGCTAGGGGAGAGCTCTCGGGGAAGAAAGGGGGCGGTTCTGACAGGAGAACCTCCCCTGGGTAGAGCTGAGAGCAGGTGCCGTGTCCGGAGCCCTGGGGGCATTGGGCTGAGCAGGGTGGGGTGCTAGCACAGCATCCAGAGCTACAGCCTAAAGGTGCGCGCCCCAGCCATGGCTCCCAGTGGGGCAAGGGGCACATTGGCATTGAGGGCAGCAGCTGCTTTGTGTCTGAGGCCAGTCAGGCCTCACAGAAGGCCAGGCACGTGGCTCATGCCTAGAATTTCAGTGCTTTGGGAGGCTGAGACAGGAATCCAGGAGTTCAAGACCAGCCGGGACAACACAGTGAGATCCTGTCTCAAAAAAAAAAAAAAAAAAAGTCTCACAGAGAATGTCATGTAGCAGCTGTGCGTGGCTCAGCAGCACAGGAGGTGGGTGGTCTGGGAGGACCTGCCTCCCCTGTGGTCTTGGGCAAGTCAGTCTTTTGGGCCTCTGTTTCCTCGTCTGTTAATGCAGAGACTACTGTGAGGTGACGCAGTCATGCCTAGCGCGGCACCTGGCGTGTGATAAACTGCCAGTCAGGATACCCTTGGCTTTCATCCGTCCAGGGACCTCTGCCTACCCTGGGCCCCCACAGTCTCTGCCCTTGGCCAGGTGCGTTGTGAGGCAGTGCTGGAGGCCTGATTTGGAACTTTGCCTGGCTTCCCCAAGCAGGTGACTGGCTCCTGGGGCCTTCCTTATCACTGGTCTCCTCAGCAGCCTAGAAGGCCTCTGTCTGGGGTCAGCACTTCTTCCAGGGCTTCCTCCAGAAGGAACCCCCCCCAAGTGGCAGCTGGAGTGTTCCTGAGGCCCGGCTGGGCTTCTGTCATCCTTTCCTTCTGCAGAGAGGTGGCCTGCTGCCTCCTTGGTGGCTCTGGGTGGGGAAGGGTGATGCCCATATGTGTCATTGGTTCCTCAATTACCCAACCACCACTGCTGCTCAGGGCAGACTTGAGCCAGGGAGGCCTCTTCCGGGGTCTGCCTGACAGCTGGGGCCGGGGCCAATGTGTGTACCTGGGGCAATGAAGGGGCTCAGCCCCTGCTTGTCCCCCACTTCTCCCTAGCTGCCATTTACTGGGTTCCTACTGTGTACCAGATGCTTGGCATCTTTTAACCCATTTGATTTCTTTGTGCAGTTCTGTGATTTGCCCCCATTTTACTGAGGAGGAGACAGCCAGGTGTGACCAAGGGGGACTTGAGAGAGTCAGAAGTCCAGCTGGGCATCACTGGTGGAGTGACTGTGGGGATGGGGACGGCCTGGGCTGCAGCTCCCCAACTTGGGCTGGATTGCACCGAGCCCCTTTCCAGCCCTCTGTGGGTGGGTGGAGGAGGGCCGGGCCACGGAGCTGGGTGTTGCTCCGCCTCTCAGGGTGCCCGAGGCCTGGCGACCTGAGATAAGAGCAGCAGTCGTGTCAGCAGCTCGTCCAGGAGCCAGCTGGCCCAGTGTCTCTGGCGGACTGCTGCTTTCCAGGCGTGGAGGGGACTCAGCCTGTGAGTCCATGTTGCTGCCAGGGGTAAGTTGTCTCCCTGCTGCTACTGCAAGGGCTGAGCCGTGCTGACGATGGGCGCTCCAGAGCCACTGCCAACAGGCCCAGGTGGCAGCTACGGGTCTCACTGCAGAGTGAGAGCAGCCTTTGCCGCCTCAGCCCGCAGGGGGCCGGGTTGGTGTCCTGGGTGTTCTGCCCAGGACAGGGAACCAGTGAGCAGCCCAAGGGTGCCAGGTGGAGTCTGCAGCCAGGTGGGGCAGGGTAGGGTGGGCCAGGCTGGGCCAAGCTGCTCACCTCACTCCAGCTGCTGCTCTCCTCTGGCTCGGCTCAGCTGTGGCTTTTGGGCCCACCCATGACAGGATGTGTGTGTCTTCAAACTGCCAGGTGTAGGCTGTGTTCCCTCCTCTGCCCCCTTTTTTGCCTCCTTTTTGCCACCTTTTCCTCTTTCTGCAGCCACAGGCTCCGTCTATCAGGCCCAGAACCTGGACCGAGTGGTGTACCCTCTCTCAATCCCTTTCGGCCCACGGGTCCTTCTGAGTTGGACAGAATCTCCAGACCTCTGGGGCACCCAGAGGAGCACTTATGGGCCCCACTGTTGATATGTCGGAAGTAGGGGCTGGACTCCTGAAAGCCCAGCCACAGGCCTAAGGCTAAGCGCCTTTGTTCAGATGCCTCCTCACAGAGAGGGGTTGGAGTCCCATCCAGACTGTGAGCCCCTTGAGAGCAAGCCCAGGTCTGTGGGTTCTTGGAAGCACCCTCATCCCAGGTGAACACGGCCTGAGTGACATGGAGGCCCCCATGGTGACCAGGAACTTTCAGATGCTCAGGCTGCAGCTCAGAGCCCACGCCCTGTGGCCTGCCAAGGCTCTCTGCCTTTCCTTCTCCTGCCCCAGGCCTCCCTCCCTGCAATACCCGTCCTCCTGAGATGCACTAAGATGGGGTTTTTAAAAAATACCCCCTGAGAGCTCGTTTCTGCCAGCTAGAAAATGCCTCCCACTCATGCTTTTCTCCCTCCTCCGAACAACTTGTCAAAAAAAAGCCTTTCCCAAATTTAAAATCTTGCAAGAGATAGTACAACAAAGGTAGCCCAGTTCTTCCTCAGTGCCATCCTGGTGTGTTCAGGCTTTGGCAAAACCTTTGAGGAGCTGGTGGGTGGCAGGGCCAGGTTAAAGGGATAGAGAGCAGAGGGCTCCCAACTGCCAAGATATGAGGCAGAGGGGTGGTGGAGAGTGCACCCGGGTCTCGGTGCTCACGGCGTCCGGCCTCCTCGTGCCAGAGGTCCAGCTCCTCCTGGTGCAGGGACGGAAGCTGCTCAGGGTCCTGCGGCGATGTTGGCAGAGCCCAGGGAGAACCTGGGCATCCCTGCTGCCTCCAGGACCACCTCAGATGTTGGGCTTGGCCACTTCCCATGTCCCCTTCCCCTTTGCCAGCAGCTCAGTTCTTCAAGAGCAGGGCCTTAGAAGGTCTGGCTTAAAACACCCGTGAGAGTCTGGCCATCTGCCCAGCCCAGCACTGCTGTGCCCTGTCCCTGGGGTTCTGGGAAGCTGGCAGCATCCTGGCAGAACGAGGGGAGAAGGGCTCCGCCGATTGCGTGTGCCCAGCAAGTCACAGTCTGCAGAGTCAGCTCCCTCACCAGGTTTGCCGGGCTCAGGGATTCCGTGCCCTCCTTCCAGCCCCTTGAGAGTGTGCGGCAGCCCTGGCAGCTCCGAGTGCCTATTGATCTCTCTGCCGGCAGCCAGGCGCGCCTGCGTCCGCCTCCTCTCCTCGGCTTCTGCTGAAACGACTTCACTTTCTCATTTCTCCTCCCACCTCCCTTTCTCTCTCCAGAGGCCATTAACTGTTTGATGCGAGCGATCGAGATCTACACAGACATGGTAACGGCTGCTTGCTTGTCCTGATGCCCCCCTGCCCCAGGGGTCTCGCTGCATTGCCCCAGCCTGTGTCCTCACCGTTAGCACCCCCAGTACTGTTCTTATTCTGTGGCCAAAACCAGTTGGGGAGGGGGAAGTGGGAGCTGGGGGCATTGGGTCACCTGGGCTGGCCTGGGCCGGCTGGGTCTTCACCCAGCTCCCGACCAGCCTGATGGCCCCACCCTGCACACATCTGGCCTCCAGCCCTCCGCAGGCAGTCATGGTTTGCATTCATAGAACTTAGGTTATTGAGCTGGGCACGGTGGCTCAGGCCTGTAATCCTGGTACTTTGGGAGGATCTTTTGGGCACAAGAGTTCGACACCAGCCAGGGCAACATAGTAAGACCTCGTCTCTACAAAAAAATTAGCCGGTGTAGTGACGTGCACTGTAGTCCTAGTTCTTGGGAGGTTGAGGCAGGAAAATCACTTGAGCCCAGGAAGTTAAGGCTGCAGTGAGCTGTGATCACACCACTACACTCCAGCCTGGGCGTTTTGTCTCAAAACCAAAAAAGAAGTCAGGTTACTGTAGAGCGTGTGCCCAGCACTTTCCCTTGCCCGGCCTTCCCACAAGTGTCGCATTTGATTAGCATCTTGCAGCAGGCCAGAGGGGTGGGCAGAGCCCACAGGAGACTCAGCACCTGCCCTGCCCCGGGGGCATTGCCAACGACAGATGCAGACCAGAGGGGCAGCTGCCAGGCGGAGCCAGGGTGAAGGCCCACCCAGGCCGGGGCTTCTCTCAGTGCTTTCCCTTTTTTTTGTTTTTTGGTTTTTCTGAGACAGAGGACGGTCTCTCTGTCATCCATGCTGGAGTGCAGTGGTGCGATCTCCACTCACCGCAACCTCCACCTCCGGGGTTCAAGCGATTCTCCTGCCTCAGCTGCCTGAGTAGCTGGGATTACAGGCACGCGCCACCATGCCTGGTTAATGTTGTATTTTTAGTAGAGATGGGGTTTCCCCATGTTGGCCAGGATGGTCTCAAACTTCTGACCTCAAGTGATCTGCCCGCCTCAGACTCCCAAAATCCTGGGATTATAGGCGTGAGCCACCGCGCCCCGCCGGCTCCTTCCTTTTTGCCTCTCCACTTGCCCCATCTGTCTCAGCCCTCCAACCCCAGGCAGGGGCATGAGCCCTGCCCCCTTGTGCTCAGGGCAGTGCTGCAGGGATGACTGTGACTAGAACAGTAATGGCAGCTACCATTTATTAGGCCCGACACTGCAGGGCGGGTAATCCACAGCCCTGTTCGGTATCGGAAGAGGGGGCTCAGACTAGTGACATGACTTGCCTAGGGACACGGGGCTACAAGCAGGAGTCGCTGAGACCCAAAACTAGGTCTGGCTGAGCCCAGGACCTTGCCCTTTCCTCTGCACCAGCGGTGGCGGTGGGCCAGCTGGGCGGGTGCCTGGATGCTGGGCAGAGGCGGATGGAAGGTGCACAGGCTGGAACCTGAGGCCTCCCTGGGGAGCTCTGGGTATGCATGGAGGAGGCTGAAAGGTGGCTGTTGGCCTGGGGGCAGAGCTGGTGCTCTTGGGCAGGGGTCTCAAGCCCTCCCTCCTATCCTGGTTTCTCCAGAGCCTTTTGCCAAGTGATTCTGGGCTGGTCCTTCTGCCTCTCTGGCCTCTCTATCACATACTTCCTCAGGGCCAGGGCCTCGGCCAAGTGCTTGTGCTCACATTCTCTCTGGTGTCGCACCATCTGTGTCCCATGGATGGGATAGAATTAGGCTGAGGCCCTGGAGTGGCTTGCCCAAGGTCACCTGATCAGCCCAGCATGCACAGCCAGGCCTGGAGTGCTGGGGCCCTCCCTTCTCAACCGTGTTCCCCGCCTCTCGGTGTCTTTTTCATACCTCCTCGCAGGCGTGGCTGAGGGGTGGGAACCTGAAGGGTCATGGGTCAGCAGGGGTTCAGGGCCAGGCATGCAGGAGCTCACGAGGCACAGGCAGCCCCTTCCCGTGTTCCCTCCAGGGCCGATTCACGATTGCGGCCAAGCACCACATCTCCATTGCTGAGATCTATGAGACGGAGCTGGTGGACATCGAGAAGGTGAGTGGCAGCAGGGCCCTGCCTGGGCTGGAAGCCAGGACCAGTACGGCTCTCTCTTCTTGCCACCAGGGGAGTCCTCTGGTGTCTGAGTGCCCACAAGGGGAGGGTGGGGGATGGGCAGAGGTGAGGTAAAGGGGTCTGGCTGTGTCCCACGCGGGCAGGACGGAGGGTGTGGAAGCTGTACGAGACCTCCTCTCCCACCGCTGCCCAGCTCTGAAACCCGCCCCCACGTCTCCCCAGGCCATCGCCCACTACGAGCAGTCCGCAGACTACTACAAAGGCGAGGAGTCCAACAGGTAGCCCCCTTCCTGCCTGCCCCGCCCCGCAGGGACCGCCACCACTTCCCTCACTCCTCCTCCCCACACAGCTCAGCCAACAAGTGTCTGCTGAAGGTGGCTGGCTACGCTGCGCAGCTGGAGCAGTATCAGAAGGCCATTGACATCTACGAACAGGTGGGGAACAGGTGGCGACCCTGCCCGCTCTCAGGACCTGTGCCTCCTCCTAAGCACCGGCACCTTGTTCTGGAACCACCCCTCCCTGGGCTCGCCCTCTGCTTCTCCCGATCCCCCCAACCCCAACCTCAGCCTGGTTGAGTGTTCTCCACCTGTGACCCTATGCCATGCCGGCACCCTCTCCCTGGCTGTGCCCCACCCACACCCCTTGCAGAGCTTCCTGGAGGGATCCAGAGTGAGGCTGGCCAAGAAACCAGAGTCAAGGAGGGAATGGGAAGAACTGCCAAGGGGCCTGGGGTGGCTGTGGGCACCCCACCCCATGACACAACGGTCCTCATCCACAGTGAGCAGGAGGGAGTGTCACATGGCCTCCTCGCAGTGTGCACGGGAGCCCTGGGTGATGGCCGAGAAACAGGCAGGCAGCTGGCCCCGGGGGAGAGAGGGGCGGGCACCGCCTCTCATGTTCTCGCCACCTGCCACCCCTCTGCCCACCGCTGTGCCAGCCTCCCGTTGGTCCTGACAGCCAGACCGCATCCTCCCCACTGTCTCAGGCTCTCGGGAGGCCCACGGACACCTGGCTACAGTCTCAGCCACCATCTCACCCTGATCTTGGCTGCTCACGCACCGGTCACTGACCTCCCCAAGCTGGTTCCTGGTTCCCTGCCATTAGGGTCCTGGGTTAACAGGCCCTCACTGCAGGACATGGACCCAGCTCCCAGCTGGCCTGCTGGTGCCTGGCAGTGGCCCTGGCCCTCTGGCTCCTTGCCCTGAGCTCACAGTGCTACTTCCCCGTGGCTACAGGTGGGGACCAACGCCATGGACAGCCCCCTTCTCAAGTACAGCGCCAAAGACTACTTCTTCAAGGCAGCCCTCTGCCACTTCTGCATCGACATGCTCAATGCCAAGGTAGTGCGCCCCACGCCGGCCGGGCCACCGTGCCTATCACCAGGCCGGGTCACCTGGCCACCCCAAGAGGGGGTGTGCTCCTCCCTCATGCCTGGCCCCTGCCAGCTGGCCTTTGGAGGAGGAGTGTGGTTCTCACCGCTGTGTTTCTGTGCTGGCGTCACCTGCCCGCCGGTCCTGGAGGCTCTTGCGGGTCCAGCTCCTGCCTCACTTAGTGCTCTTCCCTTCATGGGTACACTGTTTGAATCCTCACTGCACCCCATAAAGTCAGCACCATTGTCACCTCATTTTACGGGTGAAGATGCTGAGGCTGGGATGAGAGTTTGAGGCCTCATGCCTAGGGACCTGCAGCCCAGTGTTCCGGAGCTTCGTGACTGCCGCTGTCATGGCTGTAACTGGAGCTCACAAGCCCACCTGTTTTCACGGCACTTGGCAAAAGAGGGGCCAGAGAGGGCAGTGGGTGGGGGGCGTGGCCAGCGGGAAGGAGCCGGAGGGTTGGCACTAGACTTTGCTTGGCTGGAGTTTTCCCACCGTTGCCTGGCAGGAGCACAGAGTCCAGGATTTCCTGGTCCCCCTGGCTGCCCAGCCCCTGCCTCACAGCCTGTCTGAGCCCTGCTCTGCTGTGGGCACCAGCCTGGGCTTTGCCAGACCAGGTTCACATCCGCAGCCCATGTCTCACCATGCTCTGGGCACATCACTGCTCCTCTGGATCTGTTTCCTCCCTTTCAGAAGGGGGCTCACCATTATTTGACCCTCTCGGAGTCCTCAGGAAGCACCAGCCCCAGGCCTGGCATGAAGGATGTGCTCATTTGCCCGCTGCCCCAGCTGAGCCAGGTGGGAGGAGGCAGTGGGTGCCTGCCTGGGGAACCTTCCCCCTCCACCCACCTCTCTCTGCAGCCAGGCTGGTGCTGAGCTCAGCTCCGGGGAGGTACTGACAGGCACAGAGCCAGGTGACACCTGAAGCTGGGGGAGGGGCGTGGAGCGCTGACTCAGTATCACCAGCCATCCCCCTGTCCTCTCGGCTGCCAGGCCAGCAGCTCTGAGGGCCCTCTCATTACTGACTTGTCCTCCCCTCTCCCTGCTGTCTAGCTGGCTGTCCAGAAGTATGAGGAGCTGTTCCCTGCTTTCTCTGATTCCCGGGAATGCAAGTTGATGAAAGTAAGTGCTGGGTGCTCCGGCCTCCCGCTTCCCAAACCCCAGATGCGGATGGCCGGGGCTTCACGTGAGACAATCCCCAAGGCTTGTCCAGCGGTTCTCAGAGGGTGTCCTTGTTTTATTTTCTTTGGCCAGTTGAGTCTCCATCTTCCAGATGAAGAAAGTACCACTTGGGGGGTGCTAGAGCTCGGGATGGGCTGGGTGGACACATACCACACATGACATACACCCCACACACACCCCACACATACCACACATACCAGACACACCCCCACAACACACACACCAAACACCACACACATCAAACACACGCCAAACATGCACCACATACCGCACCCACCACACACCAAACACACCATACACACGTCACACACACCAAACATGCACCACGCACATACCAAACATACCATACATACTACGCACATACCACACATATCCACACACACAACCAAACACCCCACAACACACCACACACACCCACATACCTCCACCACATATATACCACGCATCCCACACACACACACACCCCGTGTGATACTCCGTGTTGGCAAGGTTGCCCGAAGAGCTAGCCGTTTCTAATGAGTAGGGCAGCAGGATTGCAACACATCCCTACCCAACACACCTGTACCCACACCCACACCGACCGACCCTCTCAGAGTCCTCAGGAAGCACTAGCCCCAGGCCTGGCATACAGATAGTGTGCTTTGATCTAAGCCAGGCAAGA